GGAAAATAGAACATTTGAATTTAGTAAAAAGGAATAAATTGAAATAAGACAAAATAAAGCGTTCAGCCTCATTGAACTTTTCACGATACAAATATAAGGATCTAGAACCATTTTTTGATTTGCACTTAATATTTTTCAGTTGATGGTAATTTTACCGAGTGGAGCAACTGGACATCTTGTTCTCTGTCATGTGGTAATGGCACACGATATCGAAGTCGTTCTTGCACCAAGCCAGCACCTGCTCACGGTGGAAAGAACTGTACTGGACCTTACAACGAGACACAGAACTGCCATTGCCTTAGTAAGTATTAACCTTTTACATATCGTGACTCCATTTAAGCCTGTCTTGTTTCTCTTATTCTTATGTATCATTTCATAGAGTGCACCCCACATAAGTGTGAAACAATTCTAATCAGCGCCTTATAGCCTATAGGCTGATTGCCTCCGTTCTCAGTATGTAACTGGCTTATTTCATACTTGAAGAAGTTTTCCAAGCACTGCATTAATATTTTCATTTTTAAATAGGCAAAGAAGCCGTTTTCATATGAATTGAATTATTGATAATTCCCAACGGGAATAATTTGCATAAGCATTTTTCTCGTTAGTCCCATGAGACCAAGTAACTGACATCGATTAGTCAGTTAGCATAGCGTGTTAAGTATAGGATTTTCAAAGCTAAGATTTTGGGTTCAAATCTACTTGGTGTCATTTGAATTTTTCTTTCTTTATTTCAAGTTTAAAGTTTCAGACGGAAAATTTCTAAGTTGAACGTAGTAGTTAATTAGGTATTCAAGGGCAATATGATCTAGTTATCAACTAACTAAAATTCAGTGAGAAGTAAACAAAGACAATTTTATTTTTGACATTGCAGTGTTCATGGCCAGTGAATTCTTAGTTAGTTGACTAAATCTTATTAGATGTTAAGAATTGTTCCACGCTTTTTTGGCGTGCACTCTATTGAAAATTTGCACAACCATTTAGTTTTATTCAAATGTATTATTGAAATATTATAAAAACGGTGATCGTCAACGCTCGTAATAAACTTTACTCGTGTCCAATAGAGAGTGAGACGATATAATTTCGTCATGATGTTATGTTATGTTTAATTTAAAAATACTGAAAAAAGACAGCATTTTTTATAATTAACCGTTGAAAATTCGATTAGGTGCAGCAGTTCAAAATAAACCAGTATTTACAAACACTTGTCACTTGCCCGATGGAGTAGTGCGTCTGAAAAAAATAAATGTCAAATAATCGATTCTTTTGAAAAATATTGCTAGAAAAATTGAAATTTCAAGTGATAAAGCAAGAAATTTGCTAAGAAGTCGGAACTGTTCGGACAAGATTGCATAAACAAACACGGCACTCATCCTGAAAGTTACACAAAATAAAGAATGATTTTTACCAAAAAWTTATTGCCTGACGCTTAAATTTTCATCACTCCGTCATAAGTTTAGACACTCAGAAATTGATATCAATCATGACTGTTTTCTATATCTCCATGATTCAGGTGATGATATTTTTTACATTTTATTAATTTTATTTTTTTGAATTTTAAACAAAGGAGGACTTGAGAATTCAGCTATTC